TTGGTATATCGTCTGGGCCTATTGCTTTTCTATGCTTCATCTTCTTCAAAGCTACAACCACTTCTTCCTTCCGGATTCGACGATAAAAGGAGTAGTTTCTACACTCTTCTGAGTTACTCAACTCCCCTAAAGAAGCACTCCTTTCATGTCCTTCATTGAAAAGATTATGAAAATAACCTCTCCATCTGTCTTTAACCGCGTTCTCTGTAGCAAGAACCTTTCCATCCTCATCCTTGATGCACCTCACTTGGTTTAGGTCCCTTGTCTTCTTTTCCCTTGCTCTAGCTAGTTTATAGATATCCAACTCTCCTTCTTTGGTATCTAGTCGTTTATACATATCGTCGTAAGCCGCTAACTTAGCTTCTCTCTGACAGCTTTCTTCGCCTCTTGCTTCGCTTTTCTATACCTTTCACCATTTTCATCGGTCCTCTCCTTGTATAAGGCTTTACAACATTCCTTCTTAGCCTTCACCTTTATTTGTACCTCCTCATTCCACCACCAAGATTCCTTTTGGTGTGGGGCAAAGCCCTTGGACTCTCCTAATACCTCTTTTGCTACTTTTCGGATACAACTAGCCATGGAATCCCACATTTGGCTAGCTTCCCCCTCTCTATCCCACACACATTGGGTGATTACCTTCTCTTTGAAAAATGGCTTGTTTTTCTTCTTTTAGATTCCACCATCTAGTTCTTGGGCACTTCCAAGTCTTGTTCTTTTGTCTTACTCTTTTGATATGTACATCCATCACCAACAAGCGATGTTGATTAGCCACGCTCTCTCCTGGTATAACTTTGCAATCCTTACAAGTTATACGATCCCCTTTCCTCATTAGAAGAAAATCTATTTGTGTTTTTGACGACCCACTCTTGTAGGTAATCACATGTTCTTCTCTCTTCTTAAAGAAGGTGTTGGCTAAGAAGAGATCATATGCCATTGCAAAATCCAAGATAGCTTCCCCATCCTCGTTTCTCTCCCCAAAACCATGGCCACCATGAAAACCTCCATAGTTGCCTGTCTCCCTGCCCACGTGTCCATTTAAATCTCCTCCTATAAATAACTTCTCCGTCTGAGCAATTCCTTGCACCAAGTCTCCAAGATCTTCCCAAAATTTCTCCTTCGAACTCGTATCCAACCCTACTTGAGGTGCGTACGCACTAATCACATTGATAAGTTCTTGTCCTATTACAATCTTGATTGCCATGATTCTATCTCCTACCCTCTTGACATCTACAACATCTTGTACCAAGGTCTTGTCCACGATGATGCCAACACCGTTTCTCGTTCTATTTGTGCCCGAATACCAAAGTTTAAACCCTGAGTTTTCTAGATCCTTTGCCTTACTACCAACCCACTTAGTTTCTTGTAGGCACATAATATTTATCCTTCTCCTCACCATAACTTCCACTACTTCCATAGATTTTCCCGTTAAGGTTCCTATATTCCACGTTCCTAAACGCATTTTGCTCTCTTGAACTCTACCCTTCTGTCCTAGCTTCTTCACCCTCCCCCGTCTAATAGGATCAAAAGTACTTCTTTTGTGTGTCCCGGGTAAAGTTGATAGGAGCATATGCTCCCAAACAACTTTGAGTGGAGTCGTTCGAAAAAAAGTTTCTATGGCCCCCTTGCTCATTTAACACTGCATCCGGGTGCCGATGGAGATACAGCGACCCTTGCTCACTTATCACTGTGCTCGGGCCACACAGCGCGCCACTTACGGGTGACGCCCTAGCTTTAGCGCAATTTTGTTCTGGATTCATTTTCATAAGGATTCGACGTGATCATGGAGTGCCGGCTGTCGACTACCTGACGCCCTCCCCCTCCTCCTTTATCCGGGCTTGGGACCGGCCATGTAAGACATAGGCGGAGTTCAAAGGTAGAGAAAACGAAAAAAAAAAAAAAAAAAAAAAAAAAAAAAAAAAAAAAAAATTCAACCTTCCAATGAGAAGAGCTGTCAATGCAGTGGTACCAGAAGCAAGTTTGGCATCCAAGGTGCAAGCTTCCTCAAAGGCAGTGTCAGTATGCAGAAACGCTGAAGTGACAACCTGTTCAATATCTGTAGGGAAGTCTTCATTCTCCAAAATGAACTTCGGCAGATGGGATGAAGCAAAATCAGCCGCATGCTTTCCTCCATGTCCATCAAACACCTGACCAACCAATACGGTAGGAATGTTCAATTAGGAAATTCTAAGGATAATATTAGCTAGCAAGTGCAACACATACAGATTATTGTTTGAAACATATGTTCTAATATCAACAACCACCACAAAAATCTACCTCTAAAGAACTGAGGCATATAGTCAACAAATGAAAACTAAACAACTCAAGAGTAGAATGTTATTGCACAACGTGTTAGGAAATTCGTAAGAACATGTGTAAAGACGATAAATACCCCATAGAAAGCACTCGGGCCATCGGCATGATCCTTGAGCCCATAATCGTCAATAAAATTGTCCAAGCAGACATACACATCTTCCATGTTTGGACGAGACCCAATGTCAGCCCATGCACCGGAGCGGACAATTGGAATGAAATTAGATTCAAAGTCCTCTGCTTGAACTCCCGGCTCAACTTTGATCTCTTTTGTTTTCGTCTTCATCTGCAAAATCCGATTCACACATTCAACAATTGCACCAAGACCAGAGAATTTATATTCGACAATTTAATCGCTACGAAAACAGATCTTCAATACTCCGAAAAACAGAACTACTCATAGCAAGTAAGCTTATTAATCAAAATTCTAGAAGCCATTTCTACATAATTAACAGCTTAAACATACAATTAATCACTAAACGTCTAAGAAACCCAAATGGAAAAATGCAGAAGCAGAGGAATGAATGAAACATACAAGAGACGGGTGTCGAACGAGTGATTTCTTGCACGGCACTGGAACGCCATCGGCGGGGCTAAAGCCACACTGCCAGTAGGCCGCAGCGGTCGAAAGAGGGTTCGGAGGCCGACCCTCGCTTGAGCTTCCATTCTCCACTTTACTTCCCTCCATAGTTCTCAACCATTAACATCCTCTGCCCCCACCAACCCACCAAAATTCAAGTCTCCAAAATTCGGAAAATTTTCTCAGAATGCGACTCACTGAGTCGATCACTGACTTTGTTCTGCCGAAAGATTGGGGCTTTAGCTGAAATGGCTATCTGGTTCTGCGCTGAATTAAAAAAAAAAAGGGTTTTTGGTTGAGAAATGATTTGGGATTATTGAAGGGATGACAAATCAATCGAATCCAATGAGAATTGCCGTTTCGGAAACGAAAAGGGATTCAATTTGGTTTCACAATTGGATTTGGGGATTTAGGGTTTTGCAAGTGCAGGCATTGAAAAAGATGAAATTTTGGTTTTCTGGGAAGTAAGTAGAAGAACAGGGTTTTAGAGAAAGAGAGAGAATTAGGGTTTTAGAGAGTGACGAAATCGCAGTGAAAGCGATGCACTGGGAGAGATTTTGGGCGATCTACACGAAGACACTGGTTTCTGCTGAATGCTGAGATCTAACTGGTCTGTTTCTTAGGGGGAGGTGAAACGGCGTCGTGCACCGAGCAACAACTGCGTTATGTTGACTTTGGGACTTGGTAAAGTCACATGCTTTGGTCATTTATTTTCGAAGAATTAGATATTTCTGAGAAATAAAAATCTAAAGTAATTTAATTAAAGAAGTGAAGAAATATTAACAGCAAGGTAAGGACTACTGTATCAAGATGTTGATTTCATGGCGTCCTATTAATAAGTAATAACAACCTAATTTTTGGTGAGATTTTGTGTACCTACTTGAGCTTTTTTTTTCTGTCTTTTAAAAAGGGGATCATTCGGTCATTTTGACATGGCAGTCTAAATTTTTTAAAGCAAAAAAAAATTACATATGCATTTCAGCTTCTCACTAGTCATCATCGTGCGATTCATCAGCATAAAAAATCAAATTTAAGACATATAATATGAAATATGAGCTTGAAATTCATCACTATTAATCTACCTTGTAGTGGTTATACCTACCTTGAGCTTTCAAGTACTTGAAAAGTAAAAATTAAGGTCAACTTGGCCACTTTTAGTTATCACTTGTTGGTGAATATGTCGGCTGGCTGACGAGCACGACAAACAACAAAATAAAACAGTCATCGCTTTAAAACTAAACAAACTTTAATTTGACAATTAATCAGTAACGTTACGTATATTAAATTTATAAACTAAATAATATGTCATTAATAAGAAATAAATACGTTAATCAATATTTAAGTAATAACTCAATCATCAACTTTTATATCTTTTAGTTTACAAAATTTAATCTACATATTTAGTCTTCCTAACGTTATTCATCAAGAAAACTAGTAAGGCAACATTCTTTGAATATAAGCAGCGTCCACTTTGAAGAGGAACTGTAAAAGAAGCAAATAGTGACCATTACAATAGAGACTATGCACTAATAACTAAAAACTTATCTCGCAAAAATCAACTTTCAAGGACCAAATTAAAAAAAAAAAAAACTAGAATCCATAATCTTGAAGTTTATTTTAGCCTGAAGCTCCTTGCTTTTGACATGATTTTTTTGCAGACACTAAAATACTAGTATAATTTGTTGATTGTTTTAACAATATGAATGATGAAAAGATTAAACAAATTTGGGGTCATGTGATAGTGAAAATAAATTGGTAGCATTTGCTGTAATTGGTCCAAAGTCAAAATAAGGTAGAGCACTCAGCACTCCAACCAAATACCAATGACTCTTCCGATGAGACTTTTTGGATGCTTCGTAGTACTCGCTAATTCAATGTTTCAAATATTAGATCTTTGTTTACCGAGTACGCTGGCTTAATTGTCGGCAGCTTCTGCTGAAAGTGAGAGGTTTTGCATGAGTAGTTAGTTGATTCTTTTGGGTGTATCTGCAGAAAAAGAGAGTGACAATATGTATACTCTCTCTCTAACTGATGAACAGGAAACTCAATCCCACACGCGTCTCCAAGGGAAATATTGTGGTAGTAATAGACGGCAAGCAACTATTGGCTTGTGATAGAGGGTCCAACCCCACGTGGAAGGTCACCGTTGAGGTATTTGTCTGGTACTACCAATTACTCCATCTCGTTTAACCAAAACCCACCTTCCTCTTGCGATATATACATGCTCCCTCTCCTTCTTTCATTGCTAAAATTCAGAAGGAATAGAGAAAGAAGAGAGAGAGAAGGAGAGAGAAGAGAGAGAGAGAGAGGACATAGAGAGAGATGACTGTTACAAACTTCAACTGCTGCCTCAATCCGCCACCTTCAAATCAAAGCCATGGTTCAAGCCCTTCTTTGCCCTCAAAGCAAAATCAAGTACCTGCATGGTATGTGTAATCAAACCCCAATCTCATGCCTCGTATTTGTTTGACCAATTGAAAGTTATTTATGCATGAGGAGGTCATTTGGTGTTTAATCATGTCAAATACTTGCGTGTAGGAACAAAAATGATCATGGATCATGGGCTAAACGATGTGTTGTAGGCATGAGTTGCATCATGATCGGATTCGAAATGGGCAGCGTAGTAAGTAACCAAACCCATGAGGCCATTGCTAAAGTTATGCCTTTGCCGTTGGAAATAGCAACATCAAGTGACCAGAGGGTCGCAAAATGGAGTGAAAAAAGAATGTGCCCACAGTGGAGCCCTAACTCACTGGAGACCATCGTGCCGGAGAATCTTCCAAGGCCGTCTGCTCAAAGAAGATGGGAAGCCGTCGGTTTTTCTAAGGATGCTCCGGCGGTTCAAATGGTAGTTAGAAAAGGTGGCAACTGCTTTGCTATGTAGATTTACACTTTGATACACCATGTATATGCACCATATGTATAACCAAATACAGAATCAATGAAGATCACCAAATTATTTCTAGGCATTTTAGTCATTTTAATTATGTTTTGGATTCTTCTTCTTGTTGGATCTCAATTGGAAACTTCGCAGTACAACATTGTGTAGCAGTACATGCAGTACAAATTTTGGAAGTTTTTTGAAGGAAAAAAACAAAAACACGAAAAAGAGAAAAATAATTAGGAATCAGAGGCGGCTCTCAAAGGGTCAGCTATTTTGCCTACGACCTCAAATGGTTTTTGTATGCGCAATCACTACAACAGATTTTTTAGCTGTTAGGTCGTAGGTCAAGATTCAAACACTTGACGACCAAATATTTTTGTGTGTAACATACACTGGAGCATATTAACATTTTCATTCGAACATATTTCCCGGAAGATCATGACAGAAATACTATGTCTTAATTCAATATCATCATATAGTACAAACTGTCACTTCCGCTTCTCCTTATAGTTATGTTGCCGCCACGAACGAGCAACAAAAGAAGCTATATTGCAAGTTCGTAATTTTCACTAAGTGAAAGACTTCGACTCTCATTATCATCTTTTTCAATTGAATGACTACCAAACATGCACTTTGGGATCATTTATCCTGTTCAAGTATTAATTGAGCATGTGTGCGGGCGTGGAGCTAGTTCCGTGATTGAAACCTCAATTACTGAGGATGAAATATTTGATCCTAAGGTTGCGGGCATGTTCGATCTACTCGGAAAAAAAATGTTGGTTCCGAAGGTACCGGAAAGAGTGATGGAGTTGCTACTAAGCATGAGAATAACTGAAGTCATGTTTGACCTATCAGCTTTATTGTATTGCACACATAACAATCCACCCTGAATAATGCATCTCATTGCTTCAATATTTGAGTCAGTCCTCAAGGTTGGATCCATAAAAATTTGAAGTTGTCCCTTTCCTCCAAGTTTTCCATGCCTGCATGATTTATGAACAAGTGAAAACAAGATGAAACAAAGTCCGAAGACACTTAGAGCATGTTTGGTATTCTACTTGAATCAACTTTTTAAACTCAAAAACAATTTTCAAGTTTTAGACCTTAAAAAATTGTTTGGTAGGACTATTTTCAAAAACTAAACTCAAGACTAACTCAAAAATATAATCTATTCTCTAAAAACATAAAAAGTGAGTTTTTAAACTTAAACTCACTCATTTCTTTTCTCTACCTCCTCCCCTCTCACTCCAAATCTCTCTCTCTCTCTCTCTCTCCTTTTTTTTTTTTTTACCTTTTTCGTCTCTTCTCCAATCTGTTTTATTCATTCTCTCAGTTCTTTCTCTCACTCCTCTTCCTCTCTATCTCGTCCGATCCTCTCTCTTCTTTCTCTTTCCTTCAATCATCTCTTACTTTCTTTCCTCTTCCACCCTCTTTCTCCCTCTCCTGCGACCCCTTCTTTTTAGATCTCTTTGTCTAGTTTAAGTCATAAGTTTTAAAAATTTTAAATCGCAAACCAATCAAGTGTTTTAGTTTTAAAGAAAATTGTTTTCAATAAATATTCTTAAGAAATGTTTTGAGAAATGATAAAAAATTTCATATAAGAAACCAAGCCCTTAAAAACCATGAAGCCCCCACACTTTTTTTTGTTAACCCACATAGATAGCCTACAAGTAAGGAATCTTATCCGTATAGAATTGAGAATCTCTTTAGACTTTTTTTTGGCAGAAAGAATCTCTGTAGACTTTACTTGCAAGCCAAGACACCTAATAAAGACTAACCAGATCAATGAGTCCATAATGCATTTTGAGTTTAAACCCTAAACTCAGGTTCGAGTGACGACTGTGATCGACCACACTTAAGTTGGATTTCGTTGAATAAACTCCAACATTAATGCATCTACAGCTTTGGTGTGTTACTACCGGAAACAATAACGTGGACGAAAAATAGCTCTTTCCATCGTGGAGGGAATGAAAAGTGATAGACTATTATACTGCAATTGAATGCAAGGGAAAGTATGAACAATTTATATCTGTACATTCACAAATCGTGCAGGTATGGAAAGATTGGAGGGAAGAGACAACTTCAATTGCAATCGATGATAGATCCCGCCTTAATTATTACAAGAACTGAAATAAAAAGATGCAATTTTATTTTCAATATGGCCAAATTTTTTTCTTGGACTTTTTTAATGTAACCCTTGTGGTGAAAAAGTTGTTAATTAAATCTCTGTGATAAGCGCTCTAGCAATTACAGTTCAAATATTGAAGTGTCTGTTAGTCTACCGTCTAATATACCTGAGAGTCAATGGTTTATAGTCATCATGCCAGAATCCAAACAAGCACTCCAATAACCACGAGCGCTCCATGAATCAAACTCAACACAGCATACCGTTCCTGCACTAGGCTGTGCACTAGCCACGGAATCTTTTGCATTTGGGAATACCGGAAATATCACACTTACTGTTGTGCAATCAGTGATCTGTAATACTCCAAAAACCTCATTTTGGATCTCATTGCCACTCCAGAGGGGTGGATTATATCTCGTTTGCTCAATGGGTGGGCAAGGTTGCTGTAATTCTTGTATTATATATGTTTAATTACCACATAATGGGGCCTTCGTTGGAGTAGTATACATGAGATTGTTAAGTAAGTGGTGGAGAATGAGGACAATATGGATGGACCTCTACTTATAAATGAAGAATGATCAGGTATTGAAGACTAGAAACTTATAATTCCAAGTAACTGTTTATTGCTATGGTTTTCAAAAACATCTCAAGTTGTAAATGCTTTTAACGGCGATTGCGCCGTTGACTATGCTGTTGGATACGGCAACCCCCTTGGCACTAGACACGATTGTTGAGAGATTGAAATCCCTTATCACATGATGATGATGATGATGATTATCTTTCTTCGTCAAATTTATCTTCCTCGTGTTTTTTGTTATGCAGCAAGATAGATATTCGTTTAAACGATTGTTGTGAGACTCACATGGCATATTGTGATCAAGGAGTAACAAAATTTATAATTTGGACCTCAATTGCCAACGGAGTTCATCACAAGTTAAAAATGAACGTCTAACCACATTGATCACGAAATTAACCTTTTAATTCCTGTATTTACAATTTGAACCTCAATTACCAAAGATGTTCATCACAAGTATGTAATTAATAACTTTTTCACTACAAGAATTACATTGAAAATGACATCGAAATCACAGGATCACGAAAATTGGCCTTTTAATTTCTGTTTAATAAGAGGTCATCAAGAAGCCAAAAGGCAAAAGTTAAAGAAAAAGTTCCGTTGCCGGGAATCGAACCCGGGTCTCCTGGGTGAAAGCCAGATATCCTAACCGCTGGACGACAACGGATTTGTGGAGAACTGCATAAAGTAAGAAGATATACCTGATAGACCAACTATCATTTCATCAGTTATTCTCATGCTAACTAGCAATTCTCTCTTACTCCCAGTAGATCACAACTAGCATTTTTCATGAATGGATTTGACATGTCGGTCATTGGGTTGGAACATCACGAGAGCTGCTCTATCAAAAAATGGGAAAACGAGGTTTTTTTCAATCCAAACAAACGATACATAACAAAAGTCACGTGCTTTAATTCTCTCATTGGTGAGAGTTCTTTCTCTCTTCTCTCAGAGTATTTCTCACTGTCTGTGAGCCTTTCAATCTTGGGTTTTTTCGGTGGCACCGGCCCTAGCTTTGGCTAGGGTCGGCTGTCGTGTCTTTTCTTTTTTTCTTTTCCTTCTTCTCTCCCTGCCTCTACTGTTATTTCTTCTCAATTTTCTCTCGAGTCTCCCTTGTTCCTCTACTCTTGAAGGTATACCTCTTCCCTACCTCTCTTTGATCCGATTGTCAGCCAAGTTTCTTTCTGAGATTGTGTATCGAGTTTCGGCGGTTGCTCCGGCTCGGGTGGTACAACCACCACCACTTTCTCTTTGTAATATGTCGACTTCGACAGTGTCGTTCATGGGTATCCACGAACTTCATTCTGATAGTCGGCTTTGCTCACTTGGCTACTGATTATCCCTTGTTTTATGGTTGTGCTCTTGTAGCAACTTGTGGTTGGAGGTGGCATCTGTGGAGGCGTTACTGGACGGAGGATGGGAATCGGCCGTTGGACCTATTTCAAAGGATGGAGATGGCGGTGGAAGCTTTTGGTGGAAGCTGTGTAGTTTTTGGGCCTTTCTGTTGTTGTTTCCCTTAGCTTTAGGCCTTTTTTGGTTGTATTTAAAGTATGTGTTGGACCTTTGTTGTAAAGTGTAGTTTTTGTAATAAATTTTCTTTTACCCAAAAAAAAAAAAAAAACGGGTAAAAGACAAAGTGGTTGTATCCACCGGAACAATCCACCACTACAAAAACAAGGTTTCAGTTACTGGATCCCCACTACCGCTAGCTAGTACTTGATGATGGAAAGTTGGAAACTGTATATGTAAAAGTGCTAATGCTGTAAATCAGCACCATTTTGGTCCAATTTTGTTTTAGGTGATGTGCTTTCATTCTTTATCCCTTATTCATCCTCAAGCTATAAATAATCACCGCACAAGATGGGGAAAAAATTGTTGTTTATCTAAGAATTTCATCGTCCTGTTTAGTATAAAATGATATGCAATCAACTCCGATAATGTTCCTTTTTCTCAATCAATCGTCCTCTAAATATCTCCCTTTCCCTATTAGGCTATTAACATCCATCAAATTCTTCGTTCGATATTATTCTTAAAGGCCATCCACAGAATAACAACTTTATTATTCTTTAACATAACAAAATTGTTTTTATTATACAAAAAATAAGAGGGCGCTTTGAAATATAGCAACTTGTATGATATGGGAGTGTGGAGTCACAGTGGTGTCTCGAGAATTTCAATTTTAACTTCTTGTGACCAAATTTGACGTAGCGTGATATAATGAACAGGAAATCGATCGAACGAAATACCTTAAGCTAGAATATATGGGTAATTTAGAAAAGCCTCAAGGTTTACTATTGAATGATATTAAAGATTACAATCCTAACACCCTAGAAGTTGCTTATATAGCGTCTATTAACCCTAGATTATCTAGGGATACAAATAGGAAGCAAATTAAACAAAGGGAAAATTAGGTTCACATCATTTTTTTGTTATTCCATTGATTAAAATCCTATTCATTTTCAATTTTTGATCAAGGCCCTTGGGTATTAATAACATCATTAATTATTTGAATAATAAAATATTTTTATTTTTAAATATATTCCTTTATGATAAAAATGTTACAATTAGTATATTTATATTTATGGATAAATTTTTTATCATATATTTTTATTTTTAGTTGTACCTATTTTTAATTTGCAAATATTTTTTAATTTGTACCAATTTTCTTTTCATTTTTAATTTGTACCCATATATTAGTTTCTTTTTGTGCCATATTTTTTAAAGTTTTATTTGTGTTTGTACCCATGTGTATACCATCACGTGACATTTAATCAATGATAGAAAATTTACATATGGTAAATTTATGTTTTATGCCTAACCTTTGTATCGTATATTTATATTTTTAGTTTGTACCCGCTTTTAATTTGCAACATTTTTTTTTAATTTGTAGTATTTTCTTTTTAGTTTTATTTTGTTCCCATGTATTAATTTCTTTTAGCGCCTATATTTTTAAAAATTCATTTGTATTCATAATTTTTAATCTTTTATCTATACCCTAATTTATTTCTAATGTACCCATTCTTCTTTATTAATGTACCACTTTGTTTTATGTGAAATGTACCAATTTTTTTAACACTATGGATACATTCTTTTGCCATTTATTATTTATTATTTTTACATAATTTTTATCCATTTATTCAATCAAAATGTTTGAATTTTTTTATTGTAACCATTTCTAATAGTATTATAATGAGGGATTTTAAATTTATAGGATTATAAATCTCATAAAATATTAAACAATTAATGTCAAAACTATAAAACTATAAATATTAATAGTAATATAATGAGGTGTACAAAGTCAAGAGACCTTGATCAAACTTTGAATATTATTAAGATTTTAATCAAAGAATGTTAAGGATTAGGGACCGCATCCAAAGTATCTCTTAAACAAATAACTAAATATCTAAAAGGTCCTAAAATCTTGAAATTCCATTTTTGGGCTAGCATATTAACGACATTTTCCCAAAAATGCCTCTACATCAAGGCAAAGCACTAAGTTTGGTTCGTCACACGATTCTCTTTGAAACGGTGGGTCATAGCCCAAAGCGAACAAATGAGCCAAAATCTACAATCCTCGCTGCCTACTTTACGTCCTTCAATTATTCTTTTATCATAAGATCAAAATTAGAATTACAAAGTTTATGAGCTAATTAGACATCCAAAACATGTGCTTAATTAACTTAAATTTACCTCAGCTTATTCTCTCCGAGCTGAAATTTCAAAGGTAACCAAAGAATAATTTTCAACATCGCATAAATTTCTGACTAGCAGTTTGTAGCAAAACACACTACTAATTGATACAAATTTGATAATTATCAAAAACAACAAAACAGTGGTCATATCACCAGGCACATGGTAGGAGATAATGTTCATACATAATTTGCAGAGCCATTGGTTCACACAAGACAAATATACAATGATTTCCTCAACCTCTCCATTTTTTATCTCTCTCATAATTCTGTTACTCATTGCCAATACCAGTACTCAATCCCTTGATCGTCAGCAACCTTTTCTACGTGTGGCATGTTCTTACAACAAGGGCAACTACACCAACAATAGTGTCTACCAGACCAACCTCAATCGTCTTCTGCCTTCTCTCCTCCTCAGCAATGTCAACAGCAACGGCTATGGCTTCTACAGTTACTGTTACGGTGAAAACTCCGACCAAGTTAACGCAATCGGACTTTGTAGAGGAGATCTTATAGCCGATGCTTGCAGTGCTTGCCTTGGTAACTCTACTAATATTCTCACACAGACTTGCCCTAATCAGATGGAGGCAACTATATGGAACGAAAACTGCATGTTGCGCTACTCAAACCGCACTTTATATGGAATCCTTGAAGTTCTTCCTGCTTTTTATCAATCGAATTCAGAAAACGTTTCGTCATCATCGTCAGTGGTTGATGAGTTCAACCAACATCTCATGACACTGTTGGAAAGTCTAAGAAGTGAAGTTTCGGGAGGTGGTTCGCTTAGGAAGTATGCAGTAGGAAACAAAAGCGTAACAGATTCTAATCGGACGATGTTTGGCCTTGCGCAGTGCACTCCAGATTTGTCCACCTTGGACTGCAACCATTGCTTAAACAGTGGTTTGGAGGTTATTAATAACAGTTTTTATGGCAAGGATTCTGTGAGGTTTGTTAAACCTAGCTGTAATCTAAGGTATGAGGCTTACCTCTTCTTTGATCCGGCGATCGGATCATCAGGAACACTGGCACCAGCCCCAACTTCTCCACCATCAGGTATATATATATGTCATTTGATAGTATGCTTTCAAGGTAGCAAAATATGTGGTTTAGTTAATGATGTGAACTGGAAATTAGGAAAAATTCTAATTCCACCTGCAGATTCTGTTGGGGGTCCTCAACTTCAATAGAAGATCAGATATTACTTGTTATTACTTTTTAAGAGGTCTAGGATTGAATTAAATGAAATTTTAGCCACAGAAACAGAGGATTTCGGGTTTTTGTAGGAAAGAAGAGTACTCATACACCTTGGGTTATCATTATACCTTTTGTGGCGACTGCTGAAGTTTCGGTACTAGTTATATCCATCTGCATGTGTCTGAGAGCGAAGAAGAGAAAGAACAGGCTTACTGAAGGTAAATTCAGAATAATTAGTTTTTCTTTAATTACTTGATCCACTAAAAAAAACTCCTATATGCAAATATGTAAAACAAATAATGAACTTGTTTTTCTTAAATATTTCCGAATGCTTGCAGAAGAAATTACAAATGCAGATCAAATTACTAGTGCAGAAGCCTTGCAATTCGACTTTGACTCCATTAGAGTTGCCACAAATAACTTTTCCGAGGCAAATAAGCTTGGACGAGGTGGATTAGGTGCCGTTTACAAGGTTGTGAATGTCTTGTTGTACGAATAATAATGTTGGATGTGCGCCCAAGTCAGATGTATGTTAACTTGAAAAATTGGTTGAATGCAGGGTAAGCTTGCGAGTGATGAAGATATAGCAGTGAAAAGGCTTTCTAGAGATTCTGCACAAGGAGACTTGGAATTTAAAAACGAGGTCTCGTTAGTGGCAAAGCTTCAACATCGGAATTTGGTTAGGCTCTTAGGTTTTTGCCTGGAAGGAAATGAAAGGCTTCTTGTCTATGAGTTTGTCCCTAATGGAAGCCTTGATCAATTCATATTTGGTAAGGTCTGCTTTTACTTCAAAAGTTTATTTGTGTGCAGTTCGTGCTACAAATGAGCACAAATATTGCATAATTTTATTTTTACATGAATATGTAGATCCAGTCAAGCGCGCAGACTTGAATCTACAAAATTATAGTAGGCATTGGACGAGGACTTCTTTACCTTCACGAAGATTCTCGTCTCAGGATTATTCACCATGATCTAAAAGCTAGCAACGTATTGCTAGATGCAGAAATGAACCCCAAAATTGCTGATTTTGGGTTGGCAAGGTTGTTTGTGCTTGACCAAGTACAAGGCGAAACCAATCGAATTGTGGGAACCTAGTAAGTATTAGACTCAAAGATACAATGTTATGGTAGTGTACCAATAATTTTGAAGTGCATGTAAAGAAAGCTCCTATGAAATGCAACACAAGTAAAGAACAAGCAATAGGATAATCTTAAGAAGAATAGTGAACATTTCCACCCAAGGTAAAAATTGACCTTCTTCTCTTATATATGTGCAGTGGATATATGGCTCCAGAATATGTAATGCGTGGACAATTTTCAGTTAGATCCGATGTCTATAGCTTTGGTGTGTTAGTTTTGGAGATAGTACCTGGCCAGAAAAATAGTTATTTCCACCATGAAGGCAATATGGAGGATCTTCTAAGCTATGTAAGTACCACAAAATAGTAGGTATTTGCATGTGTCTTTAAAGATTTGGGACTATATTGCTGCAGTTAAATACACAAAAAATGAAGGAAAAAGTGTCTTATTTTGTATATATATATATATGCTCATTCGCCAAATTATGCAGGTACGGAAAAACTGGCGAGAAGAGACAACTTCGAATATAATAGACCCTACATGGATTGCTGGTTCAAGAGGTGAAATATTGAGATGCATCCATATAGGATTATTATGTGTGCAACAAAATGTAGCTGATAGGCCGACAATGGCTTCCGTTATTCTTATGCTTACTAGCAACTCTCTTTCTCTTCCGGAACCCTCACAGCCAGCATTTTTTATGGTTCGATCAGACATGATGGCAGTTGAAGGGTTAGATCAATATCGAAGCAGCTTTATCCAACAATCAGTAAATGAGGTTTCAATTACGGAACTATCTCCTCGCTAGAGCTTGTTGATGGGCACTCCATTGTGAGATGTTTGCAGTGTAATTTTGCACCACTTTGATCCATTTTATTTTAAAGGATGTAATGCATTCTGTGAGTAGGTTCCAAATGCCTGAAGGGTTCCTTGCAAAAGTTCGTCGTCCGTAACAATGCAACTCCTTGGAGATGGCATCTCCTCGTCCTCGTCCCACAATTTTCTTAAAAAAGCGAGGCTTCCTTCGATAGCACTAAGTCAGCCTGCTTCCCCTCGTGCATGATGTGAAGGTCTTTTTTGCAACCACGCCTTTACTGACACTATATGTGGCTTCACTTGATCTGCGACGTATTGACCACTCTCAGCAGACTGGTACATTTGCTAGCACACTTTCTAAATGGTCTAGTAACTCTTCAGCCTGGCTGGATCCAAAACCAAGATCTCCATCTCGATGGTGCCCAACAAAGGCACTCTCCTTGGTTTCAATGCTAGAACCATCAGTGGCTTCTGTATAGAGTTTCGTAACTGGTTCAGCTATCTGTATCCACCCAAAATCATTGCTCTGCTCGCAAACTTCCCAATCCTTGTTGGCAGACCACCTAACAAAATTCAATTTATATTAAAACCAAACAAAAACAAGGATAACTGTAAAGGACAAATAGATAATGGATATCCCTTCCTCTTCCATTGACGCAAAAACAGTGTTTTTAAATCACACCAGAGCGAATTAATGAGAGAGATGACCTCTTGTCTCGTGCTCATGTTTGAGGCATCATAGTACCATCATAAAATAAAGAAGAAATTGATCACAAAAAGTTAAATATATACAGAGTAATCAGAAAATGTACCTCATGAGTATTACAAAAGTATGTGATTTCACCAATATTTTGTTGCACACACAGTAATCCAATTTGAATGCATCTCATTATTTCACTCCTGCAACCAGTTCTCAAATTAAAGTGGGATCGATTAGATTCGAAGTTGTCTTTCCAAGTTTTCCATGCCTGCATCATTTGTGTTTAATGCCCCCAAAAATAAATTTAGGTTTTTTAGATTTAGGCCCTTGCAACTCTTAAACTCAACAAAAACCCACATATATTATAACTTCTAAATAAAACCCAAATTTTGAATATGATGTCATGTTGGATAAAAGATGTCCATGAATTTGTGTTTATTACAAAATCATGCCACTATGTCTCTTACACGTTATTTCAGACATTTAATTTGTTTGATATATTTTAATTTTGTGTGAACTCCTCCAATCCAAAACCTAATTAGATCAAATATATACGGACATATATTCTGCATTTATGTGTACTAATACCATAAAAAGTAGTAGGTAAATTGATTTTGTTACAAATTTAAAATGTAGGCACATTAGTTTTGTAAAAAATGAAAAAATAGGTAAATTAAACAGAAGGTAAGTTATTTTCATGTAATAATACCGTAGGTAAATTATTTTCATAAAATTAAACAATAGATATTGTTGAAATTAAACACTAAGTTAGGTTCGACAAAAAAAACACTAACTTAGGTATATTCCAATTGAAATTTATTGTCGAAATTATAAATAAAAAAAAAAGCCAAATTAATTCCTCCATCTAGAACCATATTTCATGGCCACAAGACCTTGCCAAATTCAATGCACGTGATCAATTAAAACAAAATTACAAGAACTTTCCATACTGGCTTAGATTGGGGTACATTAGGGATCTAAAAAATATAAAAACCGACACACAAACTTAATTTGGTAAGTTGCTTAGTTGGATCTTATTCATTGGGTTTTATTGGGATAAATATTATATGATGGGCTATAGGCTAGATAAATATTATAGATGATTTTTAGTTCATTCTTTGGTTGCACATTCACTAATATGTATCAAATATTTTACTTACATAGATTAGAAGATCATCATTCTCGTCATGCATGGCGAAAAAGGTGCCAATGTTGGAATCTTATTTGGACTCTACAAATCATGATAAGGAATTGTCACATTAAATTATAATCAGTTAGAGTTAATTATTAGGTTAACTTCCTTCCTTTAAAGTAGGACCTTAAGGCAAACATGTTGAAGTGATGGAAAGCCCCACGTCTATAAGGATTGAGTAGTGCTTTCAGTTACCAACTGCTGTCCATAATAGGTGGAATGCAGTTTGGAACAGCATCTATATATGGAACGGTCCCTGCTCAAGAGGAAATGGTTCTATACAGAAACTAGCCCTATTCTAGTGAGAACATAAGGTCCCCATTGAGTAGAAGATTCTTCCTTATTCACCGTTTCACAGCTTTATCAAGCATACATCAGCCAAAGGTGAGAAGTTATTAATTTCTTTCTATCAAATGCATTTGGATTGAATTGATAACCAAACTCTTGTTCAGATACATGTATGTGGATTGTGATTTAGGGTTCTTGCTAATTTAAAGTTCCAACATTTGGTATCAGAGCATGTATTAGCTCACCCTAAATTCAATTCTTTTAATTACTATTGTTGTTGATTATATTTTGATCCTGGGCACTATAATTCTTCGATTAATGTTTGTTGGTTTTCTTTTGGGTATTGTGATCACGTTTGATACTATGGTGAAAACACCGGAAACAACTTGGGCCTCTCCTTCAAAAAAAAAAACATGAATCCTCTGAGAACGAGAAAGAGACCGGGATAGTAAAAGAATCCGATACAGAAACCGTGACCGCCTGTATCAAAAGGTCGCGTACACCCGAGGGCATCAGTCCATGCAAGCATCAGTGGCGCAAGTCAACTATTGAAGATTTGAGGGGAGGCAAATTGTGATTAATTGGCTCATATAATTGAGTTGGCAACAATAAAGACCGAAGACCAAATTGATTAGAGTGGTAGGCGTGCAAAGTAAAAGGGTTCCAGAAGCAAGTCGAAAGCAGGAAAGAAGCATCAAAGTTAATCACATAAATACATGGAATTAAACATGTGTGACTTTGTGGATTAATAAAAGGAAAAGTCAGATGGTTGTTTTGACTAAATGGAGAGAATGAGGGAAGGCATGCCAATTGCTTATCCTTTAATTTTAAAGGAAACTAAAGCCTTCAATTTGGAAGCCAAGGCACAACAACGGCATCGTTAAGGGCATCATGAAGGAGGAAGAAAACTCAGCAAAAGCCGAGCAGCAATGGGGTTGGTCTGGAAGATTGCTTGGTTGCCTATGATATCACGAATGGCACAAGCTTGGTGGACTAATGTACATGGCTTTAATGGTTTTCTGGTTAGAGCTTTCTTTGGATTTGATTATAATTGTTTTTTAATTATAATTGTTCACATTAATGCTTTTCTTGGTAAGTCTTATTCAGGAATTGTTGGAGTTTCTGTGGAGCTTTCCTTTCGGTGGAACTTCAAGAAAAAACAGAGATGGCATAAAAAAGGCAGAGAGAAAAGGAATCAAACTCCAACAAGAATGATGCCAAGGTTGCAACATGTCTAACTAGACAAATAATCATGCTATTAAACCATTAAACAAATGTTTGTAGAACTTTCACCAAAGTGGGGTTTTAAGGAAATTTTGTTTATTAAGGAGGTTGCATGGAATTGTGGTTCATAATCCACTACGGGTAAATATGTTGGCCGGTTGGTTTTATAAATCATCATAAGGGTTTTTTAATGAATTTTGAGCCAACTATATTCTTTTCCAAAGATTAGAGTATTAGTTGAAACTTGAGCTTTGATTAAAAAGGCTACATAATAAGGGTGCATATCGATATGATATACAGAAATTGTAGTTGTGTATCGTACCCAAAGGTGTTACATTGCTGTGTCAATTGATTATTTATCAACTCTCTGGCTTCATCAGGTTTGTTCTTTGCTCTTTGTTCCAAAAACTTGCAGTTATGTTGAGTTGTAATCTATGCATGTGGCTAACCCTAAATTCCATTAAATTGACTTGTGAATGTACTGAATCATATATATCTTCTTACAATGCAAGGGTTGGGCATAATCATTATGGAGCTGGCATTTGTTGTTTTAGTGGAAGCTTGGTAAAAAGGTTTAATTAGAAAGCCACAAAGTTTTTTGTTACATACGGAACTTGCAAAATGATAGAAACTAGGCATTAATATTTATCTTTATGTTTAAAGAATGAAATTGAGATTGTAAACGAATTTTTGATGTGCCCTATAGTATTGTAGAAAGAACCAATGTTAGTTCTCCGGCTGAAAATAAAACTTGCATGGAGGGTTGATGTTTTTATTCTTAACGGATTAATACATCAATGTTAATTGTATAAAATATAAAGTCTTCTACGATAATATTTTCTACACTAACCTCTACTTCTTCAGGAAAAATATATACGAGCGAGGTTTCGCAATGCAGACTTGTGTACATATGTTTTTCACCAAAGTGAAAAGACTTCAGGAATTGGATTATGTAAATTATGGTTTTAAAAACTCATAACATGTCAATATTCTTTTCCAAAGAGAGGAATGTATGAATGGGCTGAGATGGGTATAACATTTTTTAAGAGAATTAAGTTGACTGTTTTCTTGTCCAAAGACTTGAAATCTTGGTTGTTTTCTTAATCTTTTACATGACTGTTATACAATAAGGTTACATAATCTATTACTGAATTATGGCAGTTTATGTTTCTTGCCCAAAGGTGTAACATAATCATGCATGAATAATGAAAATTAATATAGCGGAGCAGATGAAGAAGGCGAAGTTCATAGTTTTTGGGTATGTTTTTTGTACCAATGATTCCGCAGCTTTGGTGATCAATTTTATTGGAAGAATGACATAGAAACTGTATTTGGTATGATACTAGATACCGGCCCCTGAAATATGTTTGCATTCAGTTTTCATTTAAATGAGTCATGGTAATAATATGTTTTGACCATGTGCCAAGAGTTTTCAGTAGAACTCCACACTCATTTTCCATTTGGGCACAAGCTCTTCCAAAACTCAGTGCAGCTCTTGACTATGTGTTACCACTGGTGCAAGTTTTTCCAGCACCGTACTTCCTGCTATTTTCTGATAATTTATAACCTGTTGAATACGTATTTTATGAGTAATTTTGGTGAATGAGTGTTTTCCCAAGTGGGAGAATAAAAGTAAAAAGTTTTGGGCTACATACTCATTAAATTGTTCCATAGGCATTGTGTTCTAAATGTATGTGGGAGTTGTTTTTGTATTGTCCTAGTCACGTTGAAAGTGTAGTAAAGTTTTTGAATGCATATGTTTTTTTGTGGAATAAGTTTTTAAATGATGAATGCTAAGGAATGGAAGGGATATCTTGTGGAGGAAAGATTGTGACATTCTTTCATTGAAATTGTGATTAATTTGCATGCAAGGAAATTTTATGGTAATATGCTTATGTATAAACTGATTGACGTAGTAAATTTGCTACCAAAGCATGCATGTTTCAAGATATGATGTTGTAGACTAATGGGTTCTTTAATTCTATATTGTTTTGTCTTATATCTTGCATATTAATTTGTAATGTACGCGCTTATGCCGTAAGGTTCCTTCTGGTTTGTTTAAAGGATGCGCACAATAAAGAATACTTGTGGCTAACCAATTAGAATAATTGGCTAATTCTATTGTTATACGAAAGTCCTTTAGACATTAAGTTGTTGGTATGCTAAATTAGTGGGAGTGTTGTTCACACTACGTTATTTCTGTTTAAGACTATTAACTAGTTTAATTGTGTATGGAAGAATTGATGCTTCACTGGAAGTATATTGGCAAACTCATTGGAGTTTGATAAAGGACCAAAGTAGCAATGTTTAAAGAGCACGTTGCAAAGATGGGAATATCGGAATCATTTGATTTAGTATATATGTGGGAGCGAACTTCCAATCTTGTTTGTTTACTTTATGGCTGTTTGCTGCCAATGAATGGAACTTGGTGTTTAATTCCATGTATTTTATTGACATGAATTATTGATAAGTTTTGGCTATGGGAATGTTTAGGCATTGTATCATTTCCCTTGAGGCATTGGTTGCTTGTTTAAAAATTTCAAGTGGTTTTAACTCTTTTTCAGTGTGCAAGATAGCTGAGGGTGGCTTGTTAAAACTGCAGCAACCTTAAGGTAGTGGTTGATGAAGCGGATGAATGATAGCTTCATCAAGACAGACAGGGCTGTTTTTGTGGGGGTATAATGGCAAAACTCTCGGTTTCACTGACATGTTTTAAAGCATCATGTATGGTTAGTGAAGAAGATTGTGATTCCAGAGTGCCTGCACTAACTGTTGTGCAAAGTTTTCTGGGGTTCGACTTCTTAGCCATGACAGATGTGTGGCCAGGACATGGTGTAATTAACTCAAGTGATCACTAAGGAACTGATTCTCGTTGTAATTGATGAATAAAATGATTAGTAAAGTCCAAAAGAATGTTGGAATCTTATTTGGACTCTACAAATCATGATAAGGAATTGTCACATTATAATTATAATCAGTTATTAGTTATTAATTATTAGGTTAAACTTCCTTTAAAGTAGGACCTTAAGGCAAACATGTTGAAGTGATGGAATGGAAAGCCCCACGTCTATAAGGATTGAGTATTATTCAGTTAACCAAACTGCTGTCCATAATAGGTGGAATGCAGTTTGGAAAGCATCTATATATGGAACTGCTCAAAAGGAAATGGTTCTATACAGAAAACTATTCTAAATAAGAAGTAGAAGTAGAAGATTCTTCCTTATTCACCGTTTCACAGCTTTATCAAGCATACATCAGCCAAAGGTGAGAAGTTATTAATTTCTTTCTATCAAATGCATTTGGATTGAATTGATAACCAAACTCTTGTTCAGATACATGTATGTGGATTGTGATTTAGGGTTCTTGCTAATTTAAAGTTCCAACAGCCCACACATGTAAAGTTATCCTAATGTACACAATCCAAGACTTTTTAAGACAGAAACAGAGCTAAAAACCGAAGAGGTGGGCAACCAAATTTTCCTTTTGGTCTGAAACATAGTAGGGTGTATGAGAGAGTCTGTAGTAGAAAGAGAACTAAAAACCGACGAGTGGGCTCACTTCTTGAAATATTGTAATGTATGGGTTCTATTTTTATTTCTTTTTACATTTTAGTGAGTGTATTTAATAAAACGAAACGTTTTAATTAAGCAAAACACTGTCGTTTTGTTAGAAAAATTGGGCAGCTCGTCTCATCTTCTTCCCAGCTTCTCTGCAAATTTGCTACAAACAACGATGGTTGCAAGGCGTCACCATCGACATCACAGCTTCTCTGCATATCAGCCTCTGCACGTCTATGGAACCGAAGAGGTCCCGACCACCTCCCCACCACCACCTTCCAAGAGAACCAAGAGGTCCTCGAAGGTCCTTCAAAAGATCTTTTATTGGGACCATCCGGGTCCCTCTATAGATCCGCTCATGCACGCATATATATTATGGTGCTATATATTCACTGTAAAATGAACAAGATGAATGCCATAAACTCAATTAGCTTTGATGGAAACTTTTCGTAGTAATTATGCTCGATCTTTGAGTCGATTCTATGGTACAAATTGTTGATGCACAAAACCGGAGGGGTCTTAGAACAACGTAAATCCGACCATGAATCATGCAAACGCCCAAGAACACAAAGATGTATCGTGGTTCACCCTAATGTTTGGGCTACGTCCACACTGATGTTGATTGTATTTCTCTGTATGGATGTATGGATTACAAGTGTGAGGGGGAGTCCCCCAGAGAAAGAGAGAGTATGAGAGAGTTTGAGAGAGTTTCTTTGTTTGTGAGCCTTGTGGCTTCTGTATGTGAGGATCCAACTTGTGAGGGTGAGGAGTCCCTTTTATAGACTAAGGGCTCCTCCCCTTTTACATAAATCATGAGCTCAATGTCTGGAAGCCCAAGTAACGAGGACCAATATAATATGGTACCAACAGTAGTCCCCCAAGTCTTCAGTCAAGAGAGTATTTTGGCTGGAGACTTGAAATTTAGTCCATGTGTGGGCCGAAGTAACTAGATGTCGTATAGAACTAATACTCAATATGAGGCGGTGCTCAATGTGAAATGATGCTCAACTAGAAGTAACACATGTTGTGAGGCTGCTCGGCTTATGACTTATGTTGCCTTGGTTGGCTCGGCTTGTGGCGTTGAAGGTGAGGGAGTTCATTTTATAGAATAAGGGCTCGCTCCTCAAAACATAAATGATGGGCTAGAGTTGATGCTCGCGGCGAGACGGTTGCTCAGTAGGCGGTGATGCTCTCTAATGATGGTGAGGGAGTCCCTTTTATAGAATAAGGGCTCGCTTCTCAATACATAAGTGATGAGTTAGGAGTGATGCTGGCGGCGAAGCGGTTGCTCAGCTGGTGGCGATGCTCTCTAATGAAGGTGAGGGAGTCTTTTTTATAGAATAAGGGTTAGCTCCTCAATACATGAATAATGGGTGTTCTCTAATGAAAGTGAGGGAGTCCCTTTTATAAAATAAGGGTTCGTTCTTCAGTACATAAATAATGGGCTAAGTCCCCCAAGTATTTTTCATGAGGCCCAGTTGTGGAAGCCCAATATATGGTACTTAGTGTAGTCCCTCAAGTCTTCAGTCAATAGAGGCTGTTGGCTGGAGACTTCAAATTCAATCCATATATGGGCCGAAGTGGCAGTTGTTCGAATGCGGTCTTTGTATACCATGCACTAAAGCTTTGTAGGTGAAGCTTTGAAAGTGAAGTTTTTTATAGGTGAGGCCTTGAAAGTGAAGCTTTGAAGCTGGAGCTTTTGTAAATGAAGCTTTGAAGTCGAAGCTTTTGTAAATGAAGCTTTCGAAGCTGGAGCTCTGTAAATGAAGTTTTCGAAGCTGGAGCTCTTGTAAATGAAGCTTTCGAAGCTGGAGCTCTGTAAATGAAAAGCTTTCGAAGCTAAAGCTCTGTAAATGAAGCTTTCGAAGCTGATTGACATGAATGATGCTCATGAATGTTTATGTTGATTGACATGAGTGATGCTCATGGATGTTGACATGAGTGATACTCATGAATGTTTATGTATGATTGACATGAGTGATGCTCATGTATGATGGTGATTGTCATGAGTGATGCTCATGTATGATTTTTTGGAGGACGAGTTGTACTTTTGATCACCTAGTTGATGATAATAACGGCAGGCTACTGAATAATTTTGGAGTACTGGACGTACTGTTAATCGCCTAGTTAGTGATAATAGAGGCAGGCTGCCGAATAATTTTGGAGTACTGGACGTACTTTTGATCACCTGATTGGTGATAATAGAGGGTGAACCTTAAATGGAGGGATGGAGGTTGGAGTTTGAAGCCATAGGGCCTAGCTCTTTTGGGCATATAGGCCTTCGCCCTCTACATAACATTCCAGCCCACTATTTTGGGCTTGCTGACATTTTCCCCTTTTTTTTTTTGGCATGCTGCCTTCTTTCTTTATTTATAATTACCCTCTAGTGGGGTTATACAAATGTCTCCAAAAGTTAAGAAAAATACTTATGTAATAGACACACATGGCAGACAACTTTGAAGGTGCCATTATATGTATGAATAATATAATAAAGATAAAAAATACTTATCTTCATAAGTCTTTTTTGGTGGTATTGCAGAAAGTGGATATGGCAGATGGTTGGATAGTGGGATAGCATGTGCAGCTGGCAGTTGCGAGGGGCAGGGCCTACTCAATGGGTCACGCCCATAATTCCCTTCTCTGCAAGTCATTTCACCACTGCAATTATGTCTGCTTTTTCCTTCTTTTTATCTTTTTCATTGTTTTCCCGTGGCTTTTTCAGAAAGTGGGAACATGCACTCCCCCTCATCTGCACGCTAGCAGTGGCTTGTGAATGCCCTTCAAGTTCAAGACCTCATTGTAGGGTATGAAGTCTTTCAAAACACTGGTGTCTTCCTCAACTGCCAGATCAGCTATACCGATCTCCTTCACCGTCGTGGGATTGATCAGCCAGGTCGTCGTAAAGCGTCTTGGCTAACAGGCCGTCATTGTTCATCATTTTCGTGGAGAAAACAAGGGTTTTTGACAGACTGGTTCCTTCTTGAAGCTACTCGATTTTGCTAATCCCGATATGTTTTATGACAGCGTTTCGGATGGCTTCAGTCTGCATGCACTGCCCCTTCTGCTCAATCCCCGTCATGTAGTTCCTCACTTCCTTTCTGATCATCTCCTGCATCACATTCAGGAACTCTGAGCTGAAAAACTGCTAATTGTTGTTTAAATTACTTTGACGCGGCGACGGCAGCAATCCTATCATCGACAGTAGAGCTGCTATCTTATGTGGTTACTCTACCCTCTGGGTGGGACTAACAATCGGATTGGATCCGAATTCGAACGCCATATGATTATACCCGTCACACAACTCCGACTCAGATTCGGGAAGCGAGAGGCTGAGCGATGTGGGCGGATCAACGGCCACAACTGATGTCGTGGCCTCTATCGATGGCGGAGCAATGGAATGAGGTACGGGTCTCGCAAGGGGGGTGAAGACCTGAGACGAGGGAGAGCTAGTTGGACCACCGCAGACGGTAAGACTTGCCGGATCGACCAGGAATCGACTTGCTGATCAACGACCAGTTTCTTGGGTCGTAGATCTTGACCAGATTCTGTAACGCTTCATCTTCCTCGGGGCTCCATGGACCCTTTATCCGATCCACCACCTTCTTTGTGGAAGTCATGTGGGTTTGCTGGGAAATTGTGGTTGCGCGTTGCAATGGGATCTTAGAGCGAGTTGACTAGAAGGAGAGGAGGAAAAAGATGTGTTGGTGTAGTGAAAGAATAAGAGTGAAATAGGGTTTGGTTAGAATCTGAAGCCTAAGTCCATGGTGATATAAGAACGACGACTGCATTTTCTCTCGATCTATATCTGTCGTTGTCTGGTTGCTTGCTTTCACTTCCAGGCGTTAACAGTGTTGTGTAGTGTGGAGGCCTTTTGGGTTTTGGTTGACAGTCGAACAAAGAGTGAGGGTTTTCTGGAAAAGCCCAAAGAGGGAGGTTTTGGGTTCTTGGGTTGTTGCAGACTCACGGTTGACAGTGATGAGGTCTCACGGTGGTGAGATGAAAAAATGAAAGAGAACTGACATAGCTTTTCGTGTCGATTCCCACAGACGGCGCCAAATGTTGATGCACAAAACCGAAGGGGTCTTGGAACAACGTAAATCCGACCGTGAATCATGCAAACGCCCAAGAACACAAAGATGTATCGTGGTTCACCCCAATGTTTGGGCTACGTCCACATTGATGTTGATTGTATTTCTCTGTATGGATGTATGGATTACAAGTGTGAGGGGGAGTCCCCCAGAGAAAGAGAGAGTTTGAGAGAGTTTCTCTGTTTGTAAGCCTTGTGGCTTCTATATGTGAGGATTCGACTTGTGAGGGTAAGGAGTCCCTTTTATAGACTAAGGGCTCATCCCCTTTTACATAAATCATGGGCTCAATGTCTGAAAGCCCAAGTAACAAGGCCCAATATAATACGGTACCAACACAAATGAAGGGTAAACATTTATTGATTATTAACTTATGATGAAATATGAACGTATTTAGTGACCTAAAACCACGTCTTTTAGAGTAATGCTATTTTTACCACAATTTTATACCACATTTCTTTACCATCTTAGGTGGCAAATCAGTTGGATGAGCTACATCATTTAATTTCAATCTTTTTATTAATTAAAACACTTAAATAATCTTAGGTGGCAGAAGAAGGCTCCTCTTATACCACAATCATCATTTAATTAACAATCTTTTTATTAATTATTGATTAACATTTTGAAATTAAATGCTAATTAATTTAGATGATGTGGTTGTTTATTTAGATACCACCTAAGACGATATACAATTGTAGTACAAAAATATGGTAAGAATAACATTATTGCATCTTTTAAGTCCTTTTTCTGTGAGAGTTAAAATTGAGTTTGCTCAACTCAACCTGGACCCACTTGCATCCGTATATAACTGAATAATGATACTCAGAACATAATCAATACTAAATTCAAATGTTGACAACTTCAATCAAATACCTAAATCAAATGATTAAGGCTTGATGTAAAACTTCCAATCCTTAATTAATTTTCAACCTATTATATTTATAAAAATGCTTTTCTGGTTACCAAATCGAATTCTTCTAAACATGATATTTTGTGGTTATAAAGAGATAAAAAGTGTTGATTAGGTTAGGACATTTGTATGGTAAAATTGATGTTTCATCACCGTTGAATGAGAAATGACTTTTTATGTGTAAGAAGTCAAACAAAGTTTGTTTTTTTTAACTTAGAAAACCAAACAACTTTTGGGTCTTAATTGTCTTGGGGTTCAGTTGGGCAAGCTTGAGCTGGCCCAAACTTGTCTATGGTACCACATGCGATGGTTCAATATTTTTCGAGAGAGAGAGAGAGAGTAGGAAATGATCGATTCCATTGCAAGAACAAGGAGAGGCTGCCACTAGTCTACGCAGAAAACTTTGAGATCACATCAGCATTGGGTTGAAATATAGGACTATGATTCTCTCCTCTTCTTTTTCTATCCTCTTTCATTCATTTCTCTCACATTCTCTATTTTGTCTTTCTGTTTCTATGAAAAATTAATATAAGATGTTGACTTGGCTTAACTATGACCGTTCAAATAGGAGAAATGGGAAGGGAAGAGAATCCTACTCCTGAAATATAAACATGAACATCCAATATATCATTCATAGGCTAGCTAGCTCTAGCTGCATGCATATCCCTATCATTTTGTTGTAGAAAAATTACACAATATTACGAGATTTAGGTAGTAGCTGGGCTTCGGTTTGTTTCTTTCATGGCTTTATCTCAGATTCAGGAAGAGCTACAAAATTGATATTACTAACAACATTGCAAGCTAGAACATATTCATTTTATCTTCGTTGCAAGCTAGATTATATGCATCAGAGTTTAACATGTACCTTAAAATGAGAGAGACTAACATAAAACGGAAACAGAAAGATGACAGTATTCTGAACCTTTCACTTTTCACATTGCATGTAAATTATACTCCTTGAAAGTACTCGTAAAAAGAGATTTTGATTTTCATGTGAGAAAAAAAAAAGTGTTTTCATTAAGGAGTATAGCAGGTGATGGAACTACGAGCGATTTTAAGGGTGGAAATTATTAGCACTCCTATACCATATGCTGGGGACGGAACTACCAACGAAACCCATGTGTTGTAGGCTTGTAGCCCACCTTAATTTAGAGAAAATGTACCAATTCTAAGACCATTTCCAAAGGAGATGTCAAATCTTAAGTGGAATATCATGTAATCAAATTTGAAAGTAGGAGCAAGCTCCAACTAACATATGAGTTTTCATATGTCAAATTTGACATATGAGAAAATATGATGTCAAATAATTTTTAATTATTTTATTGTGTGAGTCTCATTAATGCATCAATTATAGATCTTGAAAATTTATTTTAATTGATTTATTTTAAAATGAGTCATATAAATATCATTTATAACAAAAAAAACATATCAATTGGTTAAAGAAAAAAAAATCTGATATTACCGCATCAGCTATTAATTTAACATTTGACATTTATTTATTAACATCTCTATTAAAGATACTCTAAGCTCTCATCCCCATTCTCACCCCTCAACCCACATCCCTCCCTACCTCAAAAGACTCAGCCAACCTCAATATGTATAAAGTCATTGACTGCACGATGACAATCTTGCGAGCGCAAATAATTTTCATTTACTTTTTGAAAGTTTCTTTTGTATCTCATGTTTTCATGAAAAAAAAAAAAAGAGTGTATCCATAAATAAGAGAGATTTTTTAGTATGACGGGAACATGGAGCGGTACACCACATGTCATTATACAAATTGTGAGATATGTGTGTTAAAAAATTAATAACTTAAAAAATAAAGTTTTCCAACACTTGTATAAAGTGAGATATATTAACTTTGTCGTTCATCTTTATTATAACACATGAAATAATCATATATGGTTCCAATACACATAAAGGATTCTCCACAAAAAGGGAATTGGTAAGAATGACTTAATAAAGCAAAGCAAATCTCCTCCAATGCATATGCATGTTGCAGACATGCAGTAAATCTTTCATATAAAGCAAGATCCCAGGTTCCCATTTTAGCAAATGGATGATTGCAAGAAGAGAGGGCCATGATGAATACATAGATATTAACTGAAAGCGCAATGATATATAATATTCTGGCCTGCTGTGTCCAATATCTGAATGATGGAATTATGGACCTACTGTACAGTTCTGTGGACGACCACATACGATGCATATCCCACTTTCAAAGGTTCAACTGGTATCGTAGCCCTTCAACTCCCCAAACCCTAACGCTAGAGAGAGAGAGAGACACAGTATATTCCTCTCATTTCAATAATATTACAGTCAGTCTCTCAAGATTTTCTTGCTTTGGAAACAGTGGAGATGGTCCATAAGGTTTGAGGAACGCATGTAGATGTATAGTAATGTTATTCACGCGGCCATGATCGTCCTGAAGAACCAAACGTTATACGCTGCAGGGCTTGCAGCCTATCTGATATCTAGAGGCAAATGCAGTCCATTACAACTTGCCTTTAGTTATTGTCGTCGTATGTATATATGATTGCCAGTAAGAACATGAAAACCAAGAACACAGGATTTTGTCCACTCACTCTAACTCGACAAAAATAGATCGGTTCCTTACGAGGCTAAAACTACAAATTCCAAATTGGCGTATGAAATTTGTTCATGTTGTTCGTTAGAATATTTTTTCACCCTATTGAATTTGTTGAACTTAAAGCATCCAACAGAAAATCAATGTTTAGTATGAGATCAATTGATAAAACACGAGACGAAAAATTATTGTATTATGTTACAACAACTCTCACACCATAGTTAGTGATATTCTCACGTAGATCAAATGGCGGTTTAATGATCAAGTCGAAAGGCGCATATCGGGCCAAACGAACAAAGCATTGCATATTTAAACTCTTGTGTGAAGAAAATTGAGGTTTCTCCATAAAATTAATTGGTAATATATGGAGTACTCATCTTACTTATAAGCTCATGCATGGTCTTTCCTTCCATTCATGTGGAATTCATTCTCTACACGCTCCCGCATGTGACGAACTTTCAAGCCTAACACATGGATAACATAACGGGGTGACGTAGAGTGCATGTGACCGTTTGACTTCACACGTGAGACAACATGCTCTAATACCAAGTTGAAATTAAGAGTTTATGACAAATATAAGAATTCTCAACAATCTCACAAACTCGAATACCATTTTAATTCCCTTATTCTTTTCCATAAGGAGGTATTTATAAGATTACAAAGGAGTAATACGAGGAAATAAATCAACACAATCCTTTGTCTACAAGACAATGAAACCTAGACCAAATCAAATTATATAAAATCACTAATTAAATCATATAAAATCACTAATTAAATCAAATCCCTAAAATACTTTCTTTTTTATTTTTCAACACAATATTCAATTTGGTTTTCTGAGCCGTCATTTCACAGAGAACGGCAACGTGAGTCAAACACATTACTTTGCCGTAACATATGGTCCTTCCGGCTGAATTCTAACAGCCCAAAACGGGATTTTAAAATTTTAGGACATTTTTAGTATTTTGCTATTTGTTTAATTAATTTCGGCTTTTTAACCAAAATGGTTTCTGAGATTTGCATAACACATCACTATGG